TTTATCAGAAGTCATGTTTTGGGGCAGTTAGGTGGCACAGTGGATAGAGCACCAGCCCTGAAGTCAGGAGAACCTGAGTTCAAATCCAGCCTCAGACCAAACACTTGACATTTACTAGCTGTGTGACCCTGGGCAAGTCACTTAACCCCAACTGCCTTAAAAAAAAAAAAGTCATGTTTCTGTTTGTGTAGATATTCACCATGTACAATGCAAAAAAATAAGCAAAAGTCAATTGTTTCTCGTTTCAACTCAACAGAAAGTTTTCAATCTGAATTCATTCCATATTTTTTTAACCTAGTTCTGCATAATGAGTGGTATCATGCTTTAATTTTCTATTCATATTTAAGTATTTTCATTGTATTGAAGACCAGTTTGGTTGGACCATTGAGATAAAGAAGGGGAATAATATAAAATGGGTGGGACTAGGCTGTGAAAGTTTTTAAATGCCAAAGTGAAGAGTATATATTTGATCCTAAAGGTAATAAGGAGCCACTGGAATTTATCTAGTGTATATTGGATGGGAAGGGAGAAGGGCCAGTGACATGGGCTGACTGGGAAAATCACTGTCAGCTGTGTGGAAGATGGCTTGGAAAGGAGAGGCTTGAGTCAGATCAATAAGGAGGCTATTGTAGAGGTCTAAGCAAAAGATCTGAAGTGTATGGGGTGTTCAAGGAGGACTAGCATGTCTGGTATGAGAGCTTGCTGAGCCCTTTTCTGAGCTGCCCCTCTACTTTTGTGTCTAGCTGGTACTCAAATGTCACTTGTGGCTCCAGGAAGCTAAAGCATGTGCAGTGGCCACACCCCGGTAAACTGTCACAGTGAACAGGCTAAACCAGGTTGAGGGTAACTGATAAGCCTCAAACCAGTGGGTGAATTAAGGAGGTGTCCACCCCAAGCATGTGAGGATCCCCCCCCGGGAAATGGATAGATGAGAACAGTTTGTTCCAACAGCCATAAAGAGGGCTGAAGCAGGTGCTATGGAGTGCTTAGAGTTTGGTCAGACATCAAAGACGCCAAGGTCATCCACTGCATCCTGGGCAATCACCAGTCATCTTGACTTTTGTCTTGCCATTGGACTTCAATAACTTTGGAAGAGAGAGGCTGATGACTTTACAACTCTGCCTCACTTAAATCCAATTCACCCAAAAGTCAAGATATTACCCCATGATGTCACTGGTCCTCATTGAAAACGAAGGACAAACAACAAATGAAAGCTTAAACAAGGGGGGCAGCTGTGTGAGTAGAGAGGAGATTGATATAAGGGATGTTGTAGAGGTAGAAATGACAAGTTTTGGAAATGCATTGTATATGTAAGGTGAACTTACGTGAGCAGTCAGGCTTCCATAGACTCCAAGGAAGCAATTGCTTCCTTTTTGGGGATCATTGGTAACTCCCAAATAGCTGGTTGATTAGACAAGTTTTTGTTGCCTTAAGCTTTGCTGGATACTGTAGGGATTGCTTCATTATTTTGTATTTTTCATCTTTAACTTCCCCTTTCCATTTTGAAAATAGGCCACCACTTTCTTTCTTATATATATCTTAAAATAAAGAAGTGACAGACTCTTGTCCAGCGATAGAGAAACAAAGTTAGGCAAGAATGTATTTTCCTGGTATTTTGAAAATTTAATCCAAAGGGTTTTAGAATCTAAGGCAGTGCACAGAGGGGTCCTGGCTCTTCAAGAGTTCTCTGAACCAAGGAGTTCTCCCCTTTACAAGGAGTTCCCCCCATTAACCTAATTACTAGGCATAAATCATTGTTGGTAGACAACTGATAGAACACAGAGAACTCTTAATAATTGGCTTACTGAAGATAAACTACCCCCAATTCCTGGCCTGTAAAAGCAAGCTAGTCTCACACACATAATCTCTCTGATTTCTTCTCCACCTTTTCCCTTGTACCTTCTTCCATAGTACAATAAAAGAGAGAGAAGGATGGATTTCTGCACCCCATTCCCCATACAGGAACAGTAATGTTGATTTACAAATCATGTACCCTAGTATACATGTTTGCAACTGTATGCAAGCATTCCTAATCAGGAAGAGTGTTCTAGGACATTCTTTCTGAATAGAGGAGGTGAAGATTTTGAATCCTTTAGGCAATATGATCTAGGCACCTGTATTTCCAGGCAGCACTATCTTTGGGAGTAGCCTTGTCAGTATTCCCAAATTCCAAAGAATTAGAGGTTAGTCACTACAGCTCAATCCCCAGAAAGCGTAGAGGAAAACAGAGTGGGAAAAGGGTGTTAAAGTTTACAACTGACTTTGAAGACTGCAATGGCAACCTCTGCCTCTGTCTGCGATTTGAAAAGTACTAATCTAGAGTTCAACTACAAAGCTAAAGAAAAGATTGATGAAAATGGAATCTAAACACCCATGAAAATTCTCATTAAAAAGAACATAGAACCCTACCTATGATTGAACCTCGTTCTTCCTTTCACTACTAGGAAGATACAAATGATTCCCAAATTAAATAAAACTCTCCTAACCTCCACCTCTTCAACATTTTCCCACTCAGTGGATTGAAGGAAAGAATTGCTTTGCCGGAACTGGTGGTCTCTATGGGTAAAGTAGGTTCTCTTGTGTTACTTCAAAAATGACGCAATGAGACTTCCAATGGATTTGCTATATGTGTGTTGCATGTGTTACTAGCATTGTTGCCAAGCTATCTACCCACCCCCAACCCCCATTCCCATCATCTGGGACTTCATGTTACATGGTCCATAAATTCTGTAATCAGAGCCTTGGGCAAAGTCATTCATCTCCTGTGCAGGACAGCTCAGTTTTCCAACCAACCTTAAAACTTTCTGGCTGTCCAATATTAAGCTTCCCAGCTTGCTTCCTGCTTCCATGGAGAGGGAAAAAATGAATTGGCCTCATTATACTCAAAAGTGTCTAACTCAATTTTAACCTTTAAGTTATACAAAAATGTCATACAATATTTTGTTTTCATTTGTAGATGGTGAGAAAATGTGTTTAGCTTAAATGCTAGGAATCTGAGGGCCTGGAGGTGAAAAATTCAAGAGTTATACCAATTTTCCCTTGCATGCCCACCCATGAACCTCACTCAATTACATTTTCCTATTGCATAAGTACATATAAACAAATAGAGTAGGATGAGAAAGTCAACACCATAAGGGCGTGCCAGTATTTGCCATGTCTGTTCCCTGGGAATTGGGGTTAGGGACTAGTTTGGAGGTAGCAAGTCTTAGCAATTCTTTGGCATATTTTGTTTCTTTCCACTAACTCTGTGAGTTTAATTTCTGGGTCAGTGAACATATACAAGGGTTTTTCCAAAAGAAATTAGGCCTTAAAAGTACAGTAAAACTTT